AAACTTTAAAATTTGGATAATTCTATATATTTCCTTTAATTTAAACAGGTTTTCCAAATACTCCGATTTCCAAAGCATACAATAATGCTACCAATCATATCTTGATATACTCAATACAATAACCATGTTTTATGGATCGGACATTTTATTTGTTATAGCAACAAATTAAGATGTACCCGTTTTCAAAATTGTTCAATTCGTATTCATACCACCACTTGAGCCTGATTTAATATAAAAATCTTACTATTTAGGACAATAATCAATTTCAGAACCGATATGTAGTGTATCATGGTCAACATTTGACGATTATTGATAGTATTTAGGAGTGTGTAACGGATGATTGGAACCAAAAAACTTGTTTTAATTAATGGATACTAGTACAAATATTATTAATATCGCATTTTAAGATATACATTTAGGAAATCACCGTTAAATATCGAATATGAACGGATTGCAATTATTGTAAAGAAACAATTAATTTAAAAGTTAAAATATCGTCTTCTAATGCATCATAATGAACAAACGAGGGATATTATTGAATACCCGATCCAAAACTCCGGGGGTTTAAATAGCCAGATGTTCTTAAATAGGAAAAAATGCTCTTATAAATATTATTCAGATCAATTATCAAAAATTAAAATTTTTCGGAACAAAAAGTGAATTTTTTCCATGTTATAGTGTACAGAATATTTTATTATAAAATAATTACATTCAAACAGGTAAAATTTTCATGAATTTTGTAAATATCATTGAGACAAATACATATTGAAATTATCTGTATACATACTTTTGTGACGTAAATTTTGCACCTATTTAACTACACCTTAAATGAGAACTCAAGTAACCAAAATAACCCGGAAAAAAGTAGTGAATAATAATTATCATAATTGTTTTTAATTAATAAATGTGTTACTTTTTTGATTTTTGAAAAAATAATATCCTTTTTAAAATAAAACCAATTGTCAGTATTTCTGTATACTTATTTTTGAGATTAACTGTATATTTGCTGTTTTTTATACCCACCATCAAAAAAGATGGGGGGTATATTGATTTTGTCATTCCGTTTGTAACACATCGAAATATTGGTCATAGACCCACAAAAGTATATATATTCTGGGTCCTCATTAAATTCTAAGTCGATCTAGCCATGTCTGTCCGTCTGTCCGTCCGTCTGTCTGTCTGTCTGTCTGTCTGTTGAAAGCACGATAGAGTCTCAATGGAAAGAGCTAGAGGGTTGAAATTTCACATAAATATTTCTTACAGATAGGGTTTGTTTGGTATTGAAAATGGGCAATATCGGTCCACATTTTCTGATAGCCCCCATACAAGTGGCCCCTCGAAAAGCAGCTTTAACAGCCATAACTTGTTTAAAAATACGAATATAGCGATAAAATTCGACATAAGTAAGTTTCTTATGATCCAAAATCATTATGCAAAATTTTATGAGGATCAGTCCATAATTGACCCTACCCCCCATATAAGGTCCCCTTCAGAAAATGACTTTAACGCTCATTACTGGCTTAAAAATACTAGTATATAGATGAAATTCGACATAAGTAAGTTTCATACGAGTCAAAATCTATCTAAAAAATTTTATGACGATCGGTCCATGATTGACCCTACCCCCCATATAAGGTCCCCTTTAGAAAATGACTGCAACACTCATTAATGGCTTAAAAATACGAATGTAGCGATGAAATTCGACACAAATAAATTTAATACGAACCAAATTCTGTCAACCAAATTATATTAGGATCGACCCATAATTGACCCTACCCCCTATATAGGGTCCCCTTCAGAAAATTACTTTAACGCTTATAACTGGCCTAAAAAATACGAGTATATAGATGAAATTCGACATAAGTAAGTTTCATTCTAGTCAAACGAGGTTTGATGGTGGGTATATAAGATTCGGCATAGCCGAATATAACACTCTTACTTGTTATTACTTGTAACAGTCAGTAACGGGAAGCAATTTTGAATGAAACGCAAATTTTTGGATAAATTAAAGAAAAAATTAAAAATTTTAAATGTTAGGAAAAATCTTTAAAAATTAAGCAAATAAGAGTGTTATATTCGGCCATGCCGAATCTTCTATAGCCACCATCAAATTTTGTGCCGTAAAATTGCAGATGATATACAACTTTTATTTTCTGGTCATCTTCAGCTTCTTGATGTGTTTCAATATGATATAAATCTTATATTATCTAATGTTTCTGGATGGATGAGAGAAAATAATCTGAAGATAAACCCTGCAAAGACTAAAGCTATGCTTTTTAAACCGCATGGTTCCGAAGTGCATTTATCTATTACAGTTGATGATGAACCTATTGAGTTCGTTGAATGTATCAAATGTCTTGGAATTCAGCTGGATAAACATCTAACTTTTTCCCAACATATTAATTTTCTGAACTCTAAAATTAATTTTATTCTAAGGAAATTATATTCCTTAAATTTGTATTTACCACTTTCTATTCGAAAAACTATTGCACATTCTTTGCTAATGTCTAACCTATTGCATTATATTGAAGTTTATTCTGGATGTAATACTCAGGAGTTTAATAAGTGTTTACTACTTTTTAACAGAATAATACGTTATGTCTATCAATTAAAAATGCATGATCATGTGTCTGACTATGTTAGAGATTTCTTCGGTTGCTCTTTTATGAATTTTGTTCAAATCCGTTTGTTATTGTTCTTTTATAAGGTAGTAATAGCTAATTGCCCTGAATATGTTAGAAATACTTTTGAATTTTTGCATTCTGACATGTGATTTAATGTATTTATTACTTTTTTGCAATGAATTTTTAAAATTATACAGCGCTAATAGATATTATCATATATGAAGTTATTTACACACACATATGTACACATAAGCAATTCATTTTTGTAGTCAGCCTCTTATGTATTAATGAAATTATCTGTAATATTGATTTAAGTTGCCTATTTTAACATATGCTAGTCTACCAACTATATATGGCCCTATGGGCTCGGTTGGTTTTTCGTAAATAAATAAAATAAAAATAAAAAAAATTAAAGTAAATTTTAGAAGGTCTTCTCATTTATTTGATACTAATTTTACTATCATATAATATAGACAGTGATTTTCGGAATAGTTCCTTTAGAGATATTTTTGTTGCTATAAAACTTGTTTATGATAAATTTCACCACTACACTGCTACTATTAAGCCAGTTGTGAGCGTTAAAGTAATTTTTTTATGTGGAGTTTAGGGTCAATTATGAACCGATCATCCAAAAGATTGGTAGAGAGATTTTGGCTTGTATGAAACATATTTGTGTCAATCTTCATTAAATTTGGTAGAGAAATTTTGGCTTGTAATAATCTTAGTTATCTCGCATTTCTTCGATGTACTCGTATTTTTAAAAAAGTTGTCGTATACGTAATTTTTTTAAGGGGACCTTATATGGGGCTTCGGTCAATTATAAACCGATCCTCATAAAATTTGGCAGAGAGATTTTGTCGTGTAAGTAACTTATTTATAAATTCATCGCTATACTAGTTTTTAAGTCAGTAGAGCATCAAAGTAATTTTCTGAAGGGTACCTTATGTGGAGTTTAGGGTCAATTATGAACCGATCATCAAAAAAATTTATGGAGAGATTTTGGCTTGTATGAAACATATTTGTGTCAAGTGTTAACGCTGTATCCATACTTTTAAGGCAGTACTGGGAGTTAAAGTCATTTTCTGAAGGGTAGCTTATATTATGTACCGATCCTTATAAAATCCAGTTATGAGCTTTAAAGTAATTTTCTGAATTATATTGCGGGTAGGTTCAATTATGGGCCGATTCTTATAAAATTTTACAAAGAGATTTAGGTTCCTATAAAACATCTGTATGCCGAATTTCCCTACTTTAGACGTTTCCATTATACAGTTATGAGGGTTAAAGTTATTTTCTAAAAGACCCTTATATGGCGGGTAGGGTCAATTATGGGCCGATCCTTATAAAATTTTACAAGGAGATTTAGGTTTTTATAAAACATGTTTATGCCGAATTTCACCGCCATATATGCCTCCTTTAGCCAGTTATAATATTCTGAAGGGGATCTTAAATGGCGGTTAGGGTCAATTATCGGCCGATCCTTATAAAATTTTAAAGAGATTTAGGTTCTTATAAAACATGTTTATGCCGAATTTCACGTTTATATGCTTCCTCTAGATAGTTATGAGCGTTAAAGTCATTTTCTGAAGGGGCCTTATATGGCGGGTAGGGTCAATTATGGGCCGATCCTTATAAAATTTTACAAAGAGATTTAGATTGTTATAAAACATGTTTATTAACTAAAAATATCTGTGCAAAATTTCAGCTCTCTAGTTCTTCCTGTTTAGACTCAATCGTGTTTTCAACAGACAGACGGACGGACATGGCAAGATCGTCTTAGAATCTAATAAGGACTCAGAATATATACTTTTATGGGTCTTAGACGAATATTTCGATGTGTTACAAACGAAATGACAAAAACAATATACCTTCCATCTTTTTTGATGGTGAAGGGTATATAAGATTCGGCACAACTGAATATGAATAGCACTCCTATTAGTTATAGTTACATTTGTAAATATAAATTAAAATTCCTCGAAAATTCGATTTGTAGGATTAATATTTATTGATTATTTTTGACTAATTTCGATAACGTTATCTTATGGGTAGCGGTAGTGAGTTGAAAGGATTTTAAAAGTAAGAATGGCTAAACAAATAAAGTAAAACTAAAATATACTTTTATTAAAGAAAGCCCATATTTCCTACATCTGGCTGTTTAAAGACAGAATGATTTTTAGACCCATATGAAACTTATGACCAATACTGTGTCAATCATCAAAAAATTAAAGCTATTTAATTGTAATTTCATAAGAGCCGATATTTTGTTAAACAATCAATAATATCATTATAATATTGGTATATTCATATCCTTAATATTCCTATAGGCATAAAAAAGTTATCTTTAACTACATATGTATATATTTTCAAAGAACTCACCTTGACTCAAGTTTTGGTCCTGTTTCATGCCGGTAACATTTTGGGATCTAAAAAATAAATTAATAAATATTTACACTAAACGAAGACAAGCATATTTAGTTTTTTATTTAACAAACTTAATTATATACATAGATTAAATAAATAATAAAACAAATATTGATTAACTTACTTTTTAGTTTTCTGTTTTTGTGGTTGTGTAGGGAATATTTCAACAGATGGCGCGTCTGTCATTGCCGATACAATTGGAGTTTGCTGCAGTTGTTGAGTTGTTTCTAAAACATTTTTTAAAGAATTAGTTATTAAATACTGTTTATTGTTCTTTATAATTTTATGGATTAAAAAATACACACTTGAATAAAAACAATTATTATTCTACTACCAAAAAGGAACCTTATTTAACGCAATAGTTTGGTAATTTTCAAAAATGTTTTTTTTTTTTTACTTTGGGTGGGTGTTCTTGCTACTCAGTTAAGAGCCCACGATCACATTTTACATACGTAAAGTCTAATGAAAAAGTAAAATGAAATTCCATCCAGAGAGCCGTCTCGGCTCAAATCGTCGGCGGCTGGTCGCCAGCCAAGTTTTGTCAAGCCGCGCCGCCGCCGACTCAAAAACTTATGTTTTTCTTAAAACATTTGAACTGAGTTTGCCACTTTTTCAGACAAATTGAAAAGAGTTGCTATGATTTTGTCTTCATGTATAAAAATTGAAAAAAACTGTTAGAAACAATTTTTCATAAAAATAACTGTAATAATGACAGTTTTCTATAGAAAATACTTATATAGAGATACTTTTCTATCTAACAAATCTAAAAAATAAACACATTTTTCTATATAACAAACGCATACATATATAGAAAATTTTCTGTAAAGAACAAATTCTTAGCCGCCGCTGGTATATTTTATAACAAGCTGCCGTCAAATTTTCCATCCGTATTTTCTCTCAATTTGTGAATTAAGTTATTAAAAATTAAAAATTTGCCAATTAAACTATATTACAAAGAAAATGTCTAAATATTACAAGCACTGGTTTCCAAGCGAAAAAAGTAAGTGATAAAGCAAATATTATAGAATTAATATTACTACTTTGGTTCAGCCGAACTAAGATCTTAATTTTCAATTGACGGTATGGAAATGAGAACCCATCCAAAAAAAATATCAAGCGATATTCCTACATCAGATTTAAAAATGCTAAATTTGGTTAATTGTACGAATTTTGTATGGAAAAAGTTCGTAATAAACCTAAAATAAACGATTTATTAATACAGGGGTTAGAAGTTAATTGTATTCAGCACAAAGATCCATTATACAGCTTTGACAAAAAAGGGTTAGAAGTGAACTAGAAATATATTTTGTCTATAATACGTAACTATACATTTCAAAATTAACAAAATGTTAAAAATTCGTGCTTCCATTGGAATATAATTCTAGTATTTACCTTTAAAGTTTCGTTCAGTACTAGATTGGTGTACTGGTGACGTTTCCATTTGTTGCACGACTTCCGTGTGTGATTTTGATGTTTCAGGTATCTTGACAGTCGATTTTATAGATGTAGATGAAGTTGTTAAGGAACCAATATCTGTATCTAATGGTGTATCTACATTTGGCCCAGATGTAGATGATGTTACTTGAACTCCTGCTGCAACGGTAGGCGACTCATTCTGTAAGTATTTAAAAAATTACACTTAAATAAATGTCTATAGTATAGCTTTCAATGTAATAACTACCTTATCGATATCCAAATCATCTAAAATATTTCTATTTGTAACAGGATGAATAATTTGCAACGCATGTGAACGTAGCTTCCCCTTCGTTTGGGGCGGATTTTGTTGCTGTTGTTGAGGTGGTGGCTGATGTGGCATTCCAACTAATGGAGGGATTCCAACTGGTTGAGCTGCAGATGTATTGGCAACACTTAGAACCGTATTAGCAGCAACTGGTGCTACACCTAAAGGTATCTGACCCTGGTTGCCAGGTGCTGTGGGGCCACTAACCGAACCTCCCGGTTGTACGGCCATAGCACCGCTTAGTCCAACTCCGACAGCCGGATTAACTGTCGTACGTTGTTGTTGTGGAGGCTGTTGCAAATAGTAAGGATAATACATTTGCGGATAATATTGAGGTGAATATTGACACTGTTGTAATTGTGGAGTGCGCGTTGCATATGGTGCTGTAAACTGTCCCAATACAACGCTTTGATGTACTGCAGGATACATAGTGGCAGAATGAACGTATCTATTCCTTGTTGCTGGACTTGAAGGATTCTGTCTATAAATATTACCTGCTGTCGGCTGATTTGATCTCCCTGGGGAATTGTTTGCCGCACTTTGCGGAACGTACTAAAAAAATAATGAAAAAAAAACTGTCAATTATAATTTCTATTTTTGCTAGTTAATATAATAATAATAAAAACATAAATTATTTTAAATTTATAATACATATTAATAAAGAGCTGTCAAAACCACTACTTTAAAATACTATCAGATAACGTTTATCGAAATTATAGAAAAAAATATAAACTTTTGTAAATATTGTATTTTTAAACCTTTCAATACATACAATTAGAGTCCGACCGAACTCAAAATTTCGTTCGGTACCGAACACCGAACCTGAACTTCGGTAAATTTGAAAGTTCGGCCGAACCCGAACTTTATTCGGTTTTTAAAGTTCGGTGAACACGAACTTTTCTTAAATGAAAGTAAGAGCACGCTGAGAAAAAACATGGTTGTGATAACCATGTTATAAGAGCAACATATTATGATTAAAATTATGATTCAAGTCTAAACATATTATTGTTATTGTAACAATTTTAAAATATCATATGATTAAATACCGTCAAAATATTTCATCATGATATTTAAATATGTATCGAAATCAAAATGAATTTTATCGAATCAGTAAAATAAGTTTTTAAACAAATAAAAAATATATATACAATACTTAACACAATTCGCAAATTTCAATTTGCCAATTTATATGAAATTTTGGTTCATAAAAAAATTTAAGTATAATTTCATAAAAATACTAGCATTTTTAAGCCTGTTATAAACGTTAGTAATTTTCTAAAGCGAACATTATATGGAGGTCATGTCCAAATGTAAACCGATTTTGTCCATTTTGAATACGAATCAAACTGCAACAATAGTTTAGGTCCTACCGTTCTTTCAAGAGACTGACAGACTGACTGACAGACATGTCTAAATTGTTTGAGAATAAGAACCTAGAAAATTTCGATGTTACAAATGAAATCAAAGATTTATAATCGAAACTAGATAATTCAAATTAAATGTTTCACTTTTCTTAGCTTTTTAATGAGTTTCTGGTTAACAGTTTTTCAAATCAGCCGAAAAAACGAACGGTTAAAAAGGCGTTTTGTACCTATGTATATCCGAAATTTATTGTACAGGCAGGATGTAAAAACTTTTTGATGATATAAAAATATAATAAAAAAAAACATTTTATAAAAAGTTCGGCGTTCGGTGTTCGGTCAAAATTTCGCCGAACACCGAATATTGACCAAACCTCACTTTTCACCGAACTCCGAACCCGTACCCGAACGTTCGGTCGGACACTACATACAATATTTACATAAAAATAGTATTTTAAAATAAATAATATATTTTTTCAGTTTCCTTTACAAATGAGCAAACAGTTTGGAGAATGTATATATATGATTGCTTGAATCTTTAGAAAACATTAAATGTAGAAATGATTTTCACATAGTACGAAATGTTTAATATTAAATAAAGATATATGTATTTTTTGTTTAACCAAAAAACTATTGTTAAGATTAGAGAAATACTTGAGATCAGTTTTTAAAATTAATGAAAATAACCCAGTATTTTCAAACTTTTGTCTGTGTTTTAAACTGATAGCTTGAGAACGATTTGAAAAAGGGAATTCTAATCTATATAAACTAAGTAGTAATGTTACCTGGATTCATTTATGGTGAGTTTTTGACCACATTCGTATTGGAATACCTGAATATTCGGCATAAAAAATAAAGTGAGATTAAAATAAGGTTTTTAATCTCACTTTTACAGAAATATCGGAAATTTTTCTATCTTATTTGGTAATGAGGTTCAATACCAGAGTATAAAAGGTTGTATCCTACCCTGAATAAAGGTCCTCCATACCATACAATAACTGTGCATAACTAAGGATATCAGATAACATAATATTTCGTAATTATATTACTATTGCAAAGTGTATGAACACAATATTTAATTTTAATTTAATTTATTTCCAAATAAACCTAGCCTATTGGCCATAATCGGTCACAAATTTCTACTTAAAAAAAGAATTTATATGTACATAAAAAATATAATCATATAACAAATAATTAAAAATAAAAATAACTTATTAATAATAAAATAATTCATAAAATAATTTTGAAAAATATTAAAAGTTGTACCGCCAAAATTTAAATCCTAACTCAAAACGCCAAAAGATTAATAATGGAAGTTCAACAAAACCAGCCAAGAAAAACAATCTACACCAAAGTCAGGATACTGTATCCCTGCCATAAAAATAATTGACCAATTTAAGATATAGAAATGTAATCTCCAATCTCTAAAAAGTTGAAAAAACAAGAACATGAAAGCCTGTTAGTCAAACGCACCCCTAGCTATACAAGATAATAGGAATGACTACCCAACATAGAAAACAAAGTCACAAAAAAGCAAATATCTAAAACCAAGCTCCACATTCAAATATTGTAATCAGAAGTAAGTACAACAATTGAAAAATACGACAAGAAGTCAAGATAAAAAATATCTGCCAGAAAAATAAACCTACTCCGTTTACCAATTCAATGACAACACACTATCCGCAAATAAAAACTACAAAGTAAAATATTTTAGACGTCTCAACAAAATGTCTAAGACTAACAATTCAGTCAGTCACTAATATGTCACCATGACAACTCATTAACTCTTCTAAGAATATACGACCATAATACAACCAAATAACCTCTAAAACCCACGATGCAAGAGAAGAAAATGAGTGACATATAAAAAACACAAAATATTGAAAACAAAGAATGATTTAAAAATGAAATACCAATGATTACATTAAACTAAGTATCCCTTAAAAACTGCAACAGATAATAAACAAAATGATAAGAGGAACAACAATTGAATTGCAATTAGAGTCCAAACCATAGAACAATTCGCTCAACAGAAAAAAAACAATTTAAAGACTCCTGACAGAATAGGAAATAAACCAAATAAATTAATTGAAAATAAAGCAAAGAACTAATGTATATGAACAAATAATAGAACAATATGAAGATCAAAACTATAAAAATAAAAATGGCTTATCCGATGGAAAAAATTTTGTTTGTTTTTCTTGGCTGGTTTTGATGAAATTTGACATTTTGAGTTAGGATTTAAATTTTGGTGGTACAACTTTTAATATATACACTATCGGACAAAATAAAGTGCAAAAGTGCTCATGCTACATTATTTCATCGAAAAATCGGTTAAATGATTATTGAAAATGGAATTTTTTTTCAAAATCATTTAGTTTATATACAATGTTACAAAAATAACAATAAAACTAAATTATTGTGCTCAAAATTTTTCTGTATAACATCTAGAATTAAAATAAATTCACTTTTTTGTCGGACAAAATAAAGTGTAAATTTTATATATCATTATTTAAATTTCTTGTATATCAAAATTTTTTATCTATTTTGGTTCTGATTTGAATATCTGGATCTACTCAAGCCATTTTTGTAATTTTTTTACCATTATTATTCGCAATCGCTTTCACTTTCCCTTGCTTTCTCCCATACTATTATTTTCAAAAGAAATCCGTTTTTGTTCGCTATTTTAGCGGAATTTTGTGATCAATTGTGGTCAAATATTAATCTATTAGATTTAGGGCGATGCTCTGAGCAGGTCATTCAAATTTTTCAGTGTTTTTTTTTTTTCTTACAATAATGTTTTTGACCTTAGTCGTATGTTTGAAGTCATGAATCGGTTGAGGCATTAAGTCTCCCAAACCCATTTTTACGGCATTTATTTCAAAATTTTTATTAAATACGCTCGTGAATTGCTCATTTGTTATTGCTTACTCGATTTTCACTAAGATTCTCGCTCTTAAAGTTGAATAATGTAACAATACCGATAGCCCTCCACCATAATGTTTAAAACCTGGGGTATTGTTTTTAAAATTTTGTATATTGAAGGGCTTAACTCACACTCATTGTCGACATTTCAAAATTTTCGGTAGAAATTGGGACTCATCTGACCAACTACGTAAATTTGAGCTAAAAATTACGAAATTAAATACTAAAATCGAAAAAATTTTTAAGCTTTTAAATATGTTGGTGAAAGATTGAAGGTATGGGTCAGTTGACTCTTCGTATGTGTCCAATTTTTAACGTTAGGTGTGAGGAACCTAGGTGAAATTTATTCAAAAAGCTCCAATGAACACTATATAAGCATATTACAGTCAAATCTTAAGATCAGTGCCTTCGAAATGGACTTGGGCAACTTTATATTTCGGCAAGATAATAAGCTTAAGCACTTGATAAAGTTAAACAAATAACATTTCTGTAGGAAAAATCACTGAAAAATTGCAATGTCCTGCTCAGAGCACCGCCCTAAATCCAATAGATTAATTTTGGACCACAATTTATCAAAAAATTCCGATGAAATAGTGATCTAAAACGTATTTCTTTTGAAAATTATCATATGGGGATAGCAAGGGGAAGGGAAGGCGATTGCGAATAATAATGGAGAACAAAATTACCAAAATGGCTTAAGTAGATACAGATATTCAAATCAGAACCAAAATAGATAAAAAATTTTGATATACAAGAAATTTAAATAATGATATATAAAATTTACACTTTATTTTGTCCGACAAAAAAGTGAATTTATTTTAATTTTAGATGTTATACAGAAAAATTGTAAGTACAATAATTTAGTTTTATTTTATTTATTATATAAACTAAATGATTTTGAAAAAAATTCCATATTCAATAATCATTTAACCGATTTTTCGCTGAAAGAATATACATGAGTACTTTTGCACTTTATTTTGTCCGATAGTGTATTTTTTTCAAAATTATTTTACAATTGATTTTATTATTAATAATCTATTTTTTAATTCTTTGTTATATGATTATATTTTTTATGTATAAATTATTTTAAGTACAAATTTCTAACCGATCATGGCCAATAGGCTAGGTTTATTTTGGAAATAAATTAAAATGAAATTAAATTAAAATTATAAAAATATGTATTAAGTATTATATATAGGCTATTGGAATAAAGGAATTGAAATTGGTTGAATTTTTTGTGTGCTTAAATCATATATATGTATACAC